AATTCTCCTTCGCCTGAATAGATCTTTAATTGCGAATACTCTCAAGAAGATCAGTAATGTCTATGAGGATAACGGTCATTTCGAAAAGACAGTATCGTATTTCAAACAAGCAGCGATCATTTATTGTCATACATCGCTTCCTACTCATCCCAATACTGTTGATATTACGAATGATATCTGATGTATATATGCTCAATACAAATAAATGAATTTTTCATTTTTTTATATACTGATAGAAATTTTGTTCGACTTTATGGAATCCATATCCATGTCTATTTTCCAGATAAGAATCGTAATCGTAAAAAACATAGTAATAGAGCATTCGGCAATCACAACATTCGCTCTTGTACGACCGAGTGTATTAATCATTGAGTGAAATCCATTGGTGAAACGAGCGCCTTGGTCAGCTTTTTTTTGTATTGATTTGGTACACTATCTTCTCTCGATTCAATTGCATACTTTTTTATTCAAGAAGGAATTGGAACTGATCTTGAAAAGAGCTGACCGATTTTGGAGATGCGCAATCGAAACAATTTCATTTTTCTGATCTGAGATATTGTATAGTTTTATAGGAAACCTAGCAGATTCGTCCTAGGATCTGATGATATTTGAGCAAAAACTGAATAAAAGCCATGATTTCTCATAATCATCGGATGATACCTTCTTTACTCTCACCAAGGAGACAGACATTGCTTAATGATGAGTATGGATGCACATATATAGAGTATTGAACTAGAATATGCGATCAAATGGAATCGATCAGTTCAGAGAGAAAACTTGTATATATTAAACAAAGAAATCGGAGATTTTATTTCAATTGGTCTATTCAACCTGAATTAGTGCACATGTAGTAATATCGTACACAAAACTCCACACTTTAGTTGTTCTGCTGGCCACTCGCTCTTCAATTAGCCTGACATCATCCTTGACACTCTTACTTAAATTATCGATCGTCAATGCCTTTATAAACTCACTACCGAATGTTTTCTCATTCAAATAAATCCTATCTTCTTCCGCCAAAGCTTTGGTTATCGTTGGAAGAGTAAAACTAGTACATCCGTAGAATGTATGATGAACAACAACGATAACTTCACGTTGAAACATTTAATGAGCCACTGCTAAAGAGCGTCTATACTGCGACCACCAGCTACAAGTACCTGAAGAAAGAGATCAGTATCTGAAAGAGTTTGGGCAACGACACTTATATTATAATCACAAATTTACCACTACATACAGTTAGTATGTTTCAATACGAGTTCGGCAGTAGCATCACATGTTGGATCGAAGCAGGAGACGATCACAACGCGATGACCTTCATCAAGTGGTCTAGCATAAGTATTCCGACGTTCAAGTTTGATATCATAGTTAGACTGCTTGACAATGATATCATAGTCCGGATCTTCAATCAAATTCGGAGTTGCTATTTTGGTTGATACCTCAGCATTGTCAGTCATATTCCTTACTGTTGAGTGTTTCTCTACAGTTTTCCTCAAGGTTTCATTTGATTTGATTCTTGGTCAGCAACTATCGTCAACATGACCGTTACAGACTGAGTGAAGTAATCTAATGGCAAAGCAGTGACAGCGTTTTACATATTGATAAAGAAAAAAGAGAGACTAACATAAAACATCTCTCTGCATTGTAGAAGATGATAAGGAACGCAAACGAACTACTTTCATTTTCATGAAATAGTCCACTAACCTATCCAATGCTATTGGCTTATCGACGTAATGAAATAATCTATTAATTGTGATTTGAAGTTCGAAGGGTGTTGGTGTGCCTGCGTGTGTTTGAGTCATCAATAACCCACACTCACACTCACACCCATATTCCCACACTCACACCCATACTCCCACATCCGCATTCACACCTCACACCCACACCCGCATCCACACCTCACACCCATACCCACACTCCAACTTGTCAACACAGTCCTATGAGAACCAAAAATGTAGAACTCAAACTCTGCCTGTTATAAATTTATGGTATGCTGTCAGAAAGGCTAAAATAATTTATTTCGAAAATGTTTGCATTTAGAATTATTATTCTAACAATTTATTAGATTTATTTACTATTCTTATATTCAAAAAACTTCTTTGTATTGTCAAATATATCTTTAATACATAACATTTTTTCTCCTAATAAGAACTATGATACATGCCATAGAAGGCAACAAATATCATTTTATGTTTCGTTTCATCCGTTCCATCACCATATTAACCTGCTACAGACATTGATTTGATCATTCGGTAAGCTGCCGACCACACTATCTTTTCTCTCGGCAAACTTTGATATATATTGTTGAGTTTTGTACAAACTTTGAATTCAATTAGTCCATACTTTTCTATATCCATCATATTCTGACTTGGCTAGATCAATAATGTCACTATCTTACTGCTGTATGAAATAGCAAAACCTATAATATTTAGAGTAATTAGAATCTATAGTAGAAATCTTAGATTCATAAATAATGATCTAAGCACTGTTATTATTGATGCGCCTTCTTCCGTTGCTAGAGTTTAGTGAGAGGAGACGGAGAAAGTCGCAAAAACTTCGATTTAAACTTCCATTCACTATTTTCTTCGAAAATATATGTGAGTTCCACAAAACTAATAGAAGTCAACGAAAAGATTTATTCAGTAATGATATATTATGTTTAAAATCTCGTTGTTCATCACACACTTCAAAAAAGAAAAATAATTTTGTTTTATCGAACCATTGACTTCTGTCGGCCAGCACTAACAGATATAGCTGGTAATGATTGTGAATCTTGTCCATAATTTCGTCCTAATTTAAAGCCATTGTTAGTTGTAACTGTTGTTGTTGGAGCTTGTTTCCATGGTCCTTGTGTTGTAGCTGCATTGAAAACATGCTAAAAGTCGAAAATAAATATTTGAAGAAATTGTTCTTCTTTTTTATGAACATACACGTCGATTTGTTCTCATTTGAGCTTGTCGAAATGGCATACTATCAAGATCTGAAAGTAATAATTCTTTTTGCATACGTTCAAATCTTTCAGCAGCATCATCATAAATTTGATATTCATTTGTAGTTTTATTTGATGATAGTATGTCATCAATATCACCAGTATTATTTCCATTTGAATAACATTCATTATACCATATATCAAATTCTGAAAAATAGCGAAAATTAAATTAAAAAAGGTTCTCAGCGCAGTCTCTTTACAACTGAAATGTGGAACTCACATGGTTTTTTTGATTTCACTATACTAACACAAAATATGCAACGTGAAAAATCCCTAGCAGACTATAGTTATTTTTCAAGAATAACCGATCGTCATAGTAACGATTTGTCTTAATTATTTCTGCATTTCAAACATCATTTTTCTCTTCTCATTCTAGTACTCTACTTTTTGTTTGCCATGTTGCTCTTCGTCCGTTATTTTTCATTTTCGTATTCCGTTTCTCTTATTATTCTAATCATTGATTTAACTGGCAAATAAGTGTGTTGTACATATCCATTACATTGTACAGCAGGGTTCTTGATTAGGGAAAGGAAGCTTTCTCTTTCTCTTTCCAAAAATGTCCGACTTTCTGCCAGTTTTTTACAGCTTCGTGGTAACCTTGGATAGAGACATGATTTCGCAAATCCCATTTGCTTTTTGGCAGATGGTCTCTTGTAGTAGGAGCCGGGACGCAGAAGGTTTTGTTTCTACTTTCAGTGGTCACCACTTCTAGCACCCATAGGATGAAAGCACTTCCTGCTAAAGTTTTAGCTCCTCCCACCCCTAAAAAATATCGACAACTTCGATCTACGACATATATCTCAACGCACTATCAAATATCTGGATAAGTTCGGAAACACCGATATTGATTATTTTCCAAAGTTTTAACTTGATCAGCTCACGGTTGTTCTGTTGATCCTATAACGACTGTGGAAAATCAGTGCAATATTTATAAAGGTATTACAGTCATTCAAATTTTGAGAAAGACTTTGAAATGTTCTAGAATAGTCTAAATCCTACTGTTCTCGATTTCTATGAAGGGGAAGAGTCACAAAATCTCGAATTAAAACTTATAATCACTATATTTTTTTTTCGAAAAAAAAATTTAATGTGAATTCCACAAAAGACAAAAACAAGAAAATTAATCTTACCTTGAAGAAGTCGATTTTGACATTGATTAACCAAATTTTGACAATAATTTATTTCTGATTTAAGATTTTTCCATTGATCATAATCATTTCGATAAGTACCTTTAAGTTCTTGTAATTTTGCAATTAATTCATATTCTTCTTCATCAATAACAGTTTCTCCATTTTCATTTAAAAATTCACCTAGAAATGTGAAATAAATTTCATATAAAATGAATTAATTATTTTTACCCATTGTTAATCGTTCATTTTTTTTACGTTCAGCATCAACACGAGTTTTATCAATATCAACTTTTGTTTGATTTATACGTCGAGCTAAATCAGCAAATTGTTTTTTCTTTGATGCCAATATTTCTTTATTTTCCAAATAAATTTTATTTAAATTTAAACCTCGAGTTTGTTTAAAATCTTCAAATGCAGCAGTTCGAGTAGGTGGTGTACTAATACAAAATTTTTATTTGATTATTCATTAGATAGTTTTTTTTTTTTTTTTAATTTACCTTGGTGGTTGATCTTTCATCTCGGCCACATCACTTGGTTCTTTAACACGTGAAAATTGTTCATCATCATTTGTAACACTTCGTTGAAGAGACACGCTAGTTGGTTTCGATCCAACAGGTGGAGATTTTGATTTAGGACTAAATAAATATCAATAAAAAAAAAAGAACTTTTCTTTTTTTGTTAAGTTTAAAATCAAATTTACTTTGCTTGTTGTCCTCCGGATGTTTTACTTGCTGCTTGTCGTTTATTTCGTGTCATTTTAAGTAAAGCTTCTTTATTTACTCGTTGATCTTTTGAAGCTATACCTAATCCAAAACTTTGTCCATCAAGTTCGCCAGCGGTGCCTACCATAGTACTTGCACCTTGGCTGGCACCAGACATCTACAGAATAAGAAGAAAAACATCGCTTTAATTAAAACAAATGTATGTCATTCGATTTCGGGAAGTTTAACACACATAAAGCAGGAACACATATCTGTCAAATATTATAGTTATAATGATTCTAAGAATAAAATCAATAGGTTAAATGAGAGAAATAATTTACTCTCAATTTTCCTATTATTATAGAGATCTTTTTAATGAATCAGTATGATCATATTTCTTTAATTTTATATCAGCAAAAGCGAATAATTACTTACAGTTGCTGAATAGTCGTCTATCTGGAATATAAGTTTTATCTTATTATTTATTTTAGAATTTTTCTTACAAGATAATATTGTTTATATTTGATAAAATACATATAGAATAGAACTTACCTTTTGTCCATCTTGTTGATCATAATCATGCTTATCTGTAAGAACATATCGATCACGATATTTCTTTTCAACATCTTTTTCTGTTGTTCTAAATATTAATATCAACTATATCGAAATTTTCACAGAAATTAACATACCGACAAATAGTTTTTAGTGTATTAAAAACAGCTGAAATTAAAAACAAATTTATAATTAAACAATATCCTACATTTTTATAATAACAATACACTGACAGAGAGAATTTCGACTTTTTCAAGGTAAAAAAAAATCTGAAAATGTCCTTATGAAAGTAATAAAACACATACTTAAAAGGTGGTTGTTTCGTGAAACACTATCTAAAAGGAATACTGAAGTATAGGTGTAAAAAATCTGAACTCTCTTCCCGGACCATAATAGACACTGTTGATATAAAGTCCTTGACACATTAGAAGACTCGGAGTCTTCTATTAAATTCCTTAAAATAAATTTATTTCACTTATTCTACACGTGTAGAATGAGAAAGGAGCAGATAATATCCTATGAAAAAAAAGCAGAGAGTAACTGAAAAAAAGAAAATTAAATCTTTTTTTGTGTCGAACTTATTTAAATCAGTTGCCTATGTTAAGGTTTGAATAGTTTAGAGGGAATTTGTTTATAGTGAAATGTACTACTAGATCTTTTTGCGAAAACAAGTACGTGTTCAAGCTCCGAATGAATACTTCATAAAACAAATCTCGACGTATATACCTGAAGGCATGTTTTCTTCAATTACGAATTTACTGCTGTATGATAAAAACTTTTCTGAATTTCTAGTAGAAAGTGCAAAGGTGAAGAGACTTTTTTAATTAATACGCAACAGAATTTTACCAAATATGTTCCTATTTTAGAAAGATCTCCTCATGTGTCACACGTGAAAATATACAATACACCAACGGTGCTATGACGACGGAAGCAAAACATTGTTCATACTGCACGTAGATATCATTATGATCAAAAATACTAAAAAACTTAATATGCTGTAGAAATTATTTTTAAAAAATCGATTCTTAGATGATGGTTCTTCTAATATGTCGAAGTCTTTAGAATAATGTCACATTCTGTTATACCATGTTGCTGACTCCTAAATCAATCAAATGTTTTTTTTTCGTTAGAAAGAGCAACGTCTGAACTGTAAATTTTGTGCGACACATATTTTTCCAGAACGAACTGGACGAGAAGGAAAAACCCAAAAGCAAACATCTCTAAAAAAAAGGTTCTTGCAATGTTCTTCCAACTTGAAAAGTCCATATTTCTGAATTATTTTGAGCTACAGTAATAGATTAAATGGGAACAAAAATACAATAAAATTTAGCGTATCAAAAACTTTATCGATATCAGACTTGACAAATTTTTTAGATCTGTTTCTCACGCTTTAAACAAAAAATTTTGTAAAATACAGTCTTTTTCAAGAAATATCAGTTTGTTAGAACATCAGCCACTATCTCGAAAAATTATCCATGAACTGAATTCTTTTTGCATTATTTATTCGAAACATTCTAGGTCATAGAAATTTTGCAGAGAAATAGCTTTAAAAGCATTATTTTTTACCAATACAAAACAGCCGACTAGTACGAACGACCAATTTACTTAGTGGTTTGTTTTAGAAAAAGTTATATTTCGTATAAAAACCAAGAGTAAATTTAATTTCCAATATATCATTGAAAAGAGCACTTTTTACGCTACAAAAATCAGCATTAAATGTTTTTTTTTCACTTCCTTTCTAATTTCAAAAAAAAAAACATTAACAAAAAATAAAAATGCTGTTGCTCGATAATGAGGTTGCAAGAATTTTTTTTGGAGGTGTTTGATTTGAGGCTTTTTCTTCTCGTCAAGTGCGTCCTAGAAGAATGTCTCGTACAAAATTTGTAGTTCAAACATTGCACTTTCTTACAAAAACAAATTTAATTGGTTGTGACGTCGACAATATGGTATAATAGAGTTTGATATTTTTCCAAAAACTTTTCCATTGCATATTACGATCACAGATTATACATTAATAACGTCTCATGATAATATATCAACTATTGTCCGTTTCAAAATACAATACCCGTCACTGTTTTTTGAATAACTCGAGAACACAAGCCGCTAGAGACTTGCGGTTTCCACTAATCGACCGAGGAGATCGCGGGACGTCTTTTTCTCCAATAATATGTAAGAAAAAAATCCTTTTAAAACAAATTATTTTCGAAAAATATGTAAAAGAAGACATGAAAAAGACCTGTCATCTAGATGAAACTTTGATTTAGATAGAGGGACCTCGAATCTATAGTTCAAGACACAATGCAGATTGGTTCTCTTATTACATTCTAACGTTGAACAAATTGAATATGTGTTTACATGCGCAAATAAAAGGAGTTTTTACTAAATTTTCTTACTTTTTATCATAATGGCTGGACATTTCGATGAAAACGTAATGAAAAGTAAGAAAACGCACTATATCTTGAACTATAGATTTGAGGTCCCTCTATCTAAATCAAAGTTTCATCTAGATGACAGATCATTTTCATGCCTTCTTTTACGTGTTATTCGAAAATAATTTGTTTTAAAAGGATTTTTTTTCTTACACATTATTGGAGAAAAAGACGTCCCCCGATCTTCTCTTTCGATTGGTGAAAACCGCAAGTCCCTAGCTGCTTGCGTTCTCGAGTTATTCAAAAAACAGTGGCGGATATTATATTTTGAAACGGGCAATACTTTCTTATTTCATGTCTCGAGGATTAAGTAAAAGGATAGTGAAGAAATAGGTCCCAAAATAGATAGAATAAAACAATCTATCTGTGATTAGCAATAGCAGCTACATTGTGTTTCATATTTTAATCCTAGAGGGATTACGTCAACAGTTTCTATTTATAAAGCGATTTCTTTATGATAAAAATCTATTTTGTGAGATTCTATTCGAATTTAGGTTCTATGTGCCAATGTATTCTTAAACATCATTGCACAACTAGAATTTGTTCGTTCTAAGACGAGCATTATCATTATATTTTTGTGTTTATCATATTTCTTTTCTTCAAAATAAACGAACCTTGGACTTGACGAACATTTTGAATTTCAAATTCATCTAAATTTCCATCAATAAATCGTCGACATTGATTTTCAATTTCATATAATTGTTGTTCAGATAATGGTTCATAAGAAATTCCACTACGATTAACTAATGTATTATGTAATGCTAATTCTTCTTTTAAATATTTATTTTCTCGTTTGTAATTTTCAATTGCTTTTACTGGATCAATTACTGCATTAACAGTTGGTTCAGCAGGTACACACATCATTCGACTAGCAAAACGAAGTGTTGAAACCTAGTTTATCAAAAAAAAAATATACATTTTTCAATTAGTCTATTGTTGTTGTTTTTTCATACTGTTTCTTCCATATGTTGCAGTTCTGGCCAAATATTTGCAATCATAACAGTAATACATCGTCCACCAATACTATCTTTCAATACGTGTGTTAATTTTGAACTTCGAAAATGTGAATAATTTGTTTTTTTATCCGATAAATTAAGCACAACTTGTTCAAGAAAAGATAAAGATTTATTAATAAATGTTGCTTCTCGTTTTGTTACACCTTCAGACTAAATATATAAAATATAAATTGAAAATTTATGTTATTCAAATCAACAAAAAGAAAACTTTACATTTGTTTTAGCCAATCGTTCACTTCCAGCTAAATCAACAAGATTTATTTTTGATACTGTATATTTGTCATCTGATGATAAAATTGATCGACATTCAACAAGAATTGTAAAAATACAATGTGAACGAGATGATTGTTTATTAAGTATATGTTGACCAATAGTTCGATTTGTTTCACCTTCAAATAATAAATTTAATGCTTCTTCTTCACTATTTGCAATACGATATGATAATCCTTTAACATAAACAAAACCTGAATCTTCGCCAATTGATAATTGTTGTTGTTGATAATCAGATGGTGAATTAAGTGTACGAAGTAAATCACACATTTGATCATTATAAATTTCAAGATAAGCAATACTTAGAAAATAAAAGAAATATTTTATATTAATTTTTTTCCTATTTTTTAAATTACCGAATAGAATAAGAAAAATCTTGTCGAGCATTTATTTCTTGATAAAGATGTTGTAAGGCACGAGGTATAATACCACGATTTTGATAACTTTCAGCAAAGCCAGTCATTGTATGAGTTTTTCCAGCTCCTGTTTGACCATAACACATGATTGTTCCTATTATATAATGAATAAATTTATTTAATTTTGAAAAAGAGAATAATAAAACAGACCATTATAACCCTCTAATGTTCGATCAACGACATCCTTTCCTACAGAATCAAATGTTTCTTCTTGACTAACATTATGAAATACACCATCTAAATGAAATGCCCAATCATTGATTTTGTTATCAACAGCATTGGCTGATGCAATTCGATGAATACAAATTGTCTATTAAAATTATAATTTAAAAATGAATAGAAAACTTCTTTTTTCTATCAAACTATAAACTAACTCGATTATCTTGTCCGAAAGAAAGCATACTCGATGCAAAATTATTTGTAGGACGAGTTCGAACATAAACTTTTACTTTATTGGATGAACGTTGTGGCATGTTTAGAAAATTGTTGATGAGTCTATGAATACAAAAATACAAATATTTATATTTGAATAATTTTACAAAAAATCTTACAACTATTTGTATTTAAAGAATTCAGAATATCGATTAAATTGAATCAACTAGAGAAGTTTATCAGTATTATGTAAGTATGAAGGAAGAACATTTTTATCTATAATAAAAGAAAATCAAAGTTTATGTTCGTTGAAGAATATAATTATCATGTTCATTCGTTGTCATAATCAATAAATCTCTAATTTGATTTCTTCTTCTACTTCGTCTTACTTGTAGTATCTCTTACAATTTTACTTTATGAATGAAGATTTCTATTGATGATTGAATGTGAAAATACACTTGTTTATTGAAAAACAATCCTTGTACTTTGTTTAAAACCATATTTCTTTACATCTATCAAACCATACACACTCAGCAAAACTTTTAATACTTTACTGTCGCTTTGTTGTTCAAATTAGCATGAATAGTAATAAAGGTCACATTAATAAGTAAGAAACTATAGAAACTCCTTGATGATTACATTCAAAAATGATACATACAAAGATGTCGCAACTGAAAGGTTGTAAAAACTTATTTCAATAATTCTTCTGAATACAAATTTTTCTATTTGATATTCATTTACCAATAACAAAATGATTGTGAATTTTTTTTTCATGGGTTTTTTTTTAATCGAAAATATAGCGATTACTATTGAAACAATAGTAGGCCCTTATAATACAAATATGTCAAACGAACATACAAAGCATTGATGTATCGTTTGACATATTTATTTGTCTTATGAGCGTCTACTCTCGTACTATTCATATATACAGGGTGGCGCAAAAGTCACTTTGCCGAAAAGAAAATTGAATATCTCCATTATACGACTCGAGCAAACGAGCTAATTTCTTTATCAATGATAGAGGCATGCTCAAGCTCTGTATCCATAAAGATATACCTAGAGAGACCCTTCGTTAAGCATCACTATTGACCTCAACAAAAAAATTTTATTTTTTCACAGATAGGAAAAAGAAACAATATACTTAACAAAGAGCCTTTCTAGGCATGTCTTTATGGATATCAAGCTTGAATATGTCTCTATCATCGATAAAAAAAATCAGCTCGTTTGCTCGAACCGTGATGAAGATATTCAATTTTTATTCGATAAAGTGACTTTTGCGCCACCCTCTGCATATCTACATAACTCTGTTTCGGCCATAATCTTTATATTTTTGAAAACAGAAAAGGTTTTTGCAACCATTTTATTGTGGGTAATTCAATAGCAATTAATTTGAAAAAAGGATGATGTCGCTTTCCTTGTTTTCGATGGCTTTCGAAATGGTTAGGTAATAGAAAAACACTAGATTCAATGAGTTTTTGAAATCTTGAGGTTCGCTGCTCTGAGATTCAAAAATATTTTCCTTGTGAGAGATTTACTATTTTCAATGGAATGATTTTCTTTTATGTTGGTAAATTGAAAGCAAATAGTAGTTTCTTATGGCAATGTGAACAGAACAGGGCATGTAAAACTACAAACATACGATCTCCAGGTTCTTACATTCGTTTCGTATGATGAAAACAGTCTTATAACACTTCTGTTACTTTTTTGGTTGTTGAGATACACTTGTTCATTCGCCATTTCAGTAGTCATTTCAATTTCAATACAATATTTGTCTTATCTGTCATTGACCAAAATGCATTACATTATTTCTAGTAAAAAAAAATCAGACGATTTATTATACTCGAAACTTGCTTCTGTTGTTATGAAAGAACGTAGTCGGTTGTTTTCTTAGTTTATTGAAGATAAGAAAAAAAGAAAAAGAAAAAGAAACAATGGGACAACAAGAGTGAAATGATAAGCAAAGACTCACAAAAATCTGCCAAACTTTTGACTTAATCAGGCCATTTGAGCGTTGTGCAAGTAAAGATAATGTCGGCTGTTTCAAAGTCATCTAAATATCAAGTACAATTTTTGTTTCATATCCTTGAGCCGCTTCATAGTCTACAAGATCTGACTTCCAAGTCGACGATTATCAGGAATAACCATTGAAGCAATTTTTTCTGATAGTAGAAATTGTGCAACCTGAGATATTCAATGTGAGAAGAGTGAATATGAGAAGAGAAAACCTGAAGATGTCATGGTTCATCGTAAGAGCATAAAAGAAAGGAATCCAATAATTATTGTATGAAATAATTTCTGTCTTATAGATGGGAAGAGATGATCCTATAGTATTCTGAGCAATTGTTTAACGCAAGACAGATATAGTAGAAAGCAATAAATATTTCAGTACACTTTTTTGTGTAATTCATTTCCCTGTCTGCTAAAAAATTGTATAATCATCTCTTATTATGTATTCGCTCTTTAACCATAACTGAGTAGGAATAGACTGGAAGCCAACTAAAATATCAAAGAGTAATGATTAGTAAATAATAAATATTAGTCAGAAAAAAAATAACCTGGCGAATAACAAAAGAAGATAGAAATAAAGCTGAGCAAGCTGTCGAAAAGGCCATGTATGATACAAAAGCATCTAACTCTGATAATAATGATGTTCATTGAGAATTGATTTCAGCATAAAAGTTATCAAAATTTACATTTGCCATATCTAAACAAAAAAAGTCACTTATAACGAAACAGAATCATAAACTCCTACATACAGAAGACTAATTTTTACTACACTACAAAAACTATATGTATATCCGTATTTGAAATCAATCTTATAAATAGACAAATGAAGAACAGATGAGAAGACCGATAGCTCAAAAACAGTCATTTCTTACAAACATATCTCATAAGACAAAAACAATAGCCAACATAGAGAAGCAATTGAGTCATTGTATCCAAAATCTAAAAGCTCATTTGACTAAGTTATTATTGATAAAAAAATTATTTCCATCTTAAACTTACAAAATTATTATGTTGTTAGGTTTATGAATATTGACAAACTTCAAAACTACATTAATATGAATTAATCAAATTGATAGTTTAAGTAAAGTTATCATGACAAAATAACCAAAATGACAAATAAAATTGACTGTTGGATCTATAATGGAATTAGATAACTCATTCCTACATAATTAGAGCATTCTTTGAGGTGATTTTACAAAAAACCAGCCTATGTCGTAATAACCAACTAAAAGTCGTCGATCAACAACGGTCATGTGTTTACTTCAAGTGTATATATGTAGATAAGAAGGAAGTAAAACAACCAGTTTACATGAAATACAGGCCATTATGTAATCACATAGTGCTAAATGACAAATTATATGATGAGTTCTACAATATGATACATGATAAAAATGACATGCAGAATATAATGAATTATTCATCTCGCAATATCTCATTTATTTCAATAAGACGCTGTAATATCAAATGAAATTTTCAATACTAATTAAATAAGCGTTTTCAAATGATTCAATCGAACGAAGATCAATTCTAGCTGGAAATAAAGAAGATGACAAACAAGATAAGAAGAATCTTTTGAATCTACCTTGTTATCTCATACAAAGTAATTCATTAACTTTGTATGCATTGCATAAAAAAACGCACCATTTATTTAAGAAAAAACATAAGATCAGCAAATATCACGAACAACGACAATCTTATCTCAATTTAAAGAATTATTTTATACGTATTAACCTACGTTTTAAAAGGACGTAGGTGATTGAATAATACCATACTTAATTTTTCTCTCTGTTTTATTTTACTTGTGCTTCCTACCGCTTATTCGTTTAAAGCCAGTAAGAAAGCAATCAATAAACTAACACATCGAACTATGTCGAAAAGAATGAGCGATAAACATGTTGTGGGCCACTGTATTTTGAACTCATATGAAGTATATGTATATCATTTCAAAAATGTATTTCTGATATTATATTAATAGATCACATGAATTTATTCTACTTTTCAATATGTTGCGAACACGTTCTCGTTGCATGATCAGTCGATAATTTGCACGGATAAAGATATCTAAAAATACGCTGACATCTTGTTTTCTTTTTTGAATTTCATGTTCCAGAAGAATATAAAATTTTGTGATGCTTTCAAAATCCATTATTCAAAAATATTAACAAATGTTAGAGAGTCAATCAATAAAATAGATTTCCTATGAGATCGATATATTAGTACTATTTTATACAATTGGTCTTGATTTTGACTATCTTCCTTCTTAAGCTCCAAAAATGAGATCAGAGAATATGAAAACAAATACTAACTCAGCAATGAAGTCATATCGAAATATAAATAACAAATTAATTTTTGAAGTAAAATTTCTACTTTATTTTTATATCATAAATCCTTATTCACTTAAATTACTTAGCCATGGTATATTACAACGGAAGATAAATTGGTTAATCAATGACATTTATCGTATTCCGTCAAAGGCTAAAAACAGTTTTTTTTTCTGTGCAGAAAAATGGATTACACGGAAAACAAATGGGTTTTCTTATTCAACTGTTTTTTCATTAATGAACTATAACAAATACAAAAATTTAATTTATGAACGAATGACTTGATTAACTGCTTCATTGCGTTGTCAATTATTCTTATTGTTGATAGAGATGTGATTACTGATGTCTACAGACTACAATACATATACAGAGTACTATGCCATCTTTCGGATAAAATTTTTTCAATGATAATTAATGATTTGTTTTTCTTCACATTGGTAAAAATGCGACTATTCATAGTCTTGCAGACACATTCATAAATGGTTTATGAACGTTAGATTCGATATTACTTTGTGAGTATATCTTGTTGTGTTGTGTAATATATAACTTCTTTTGTAAAATAAAACTCAAAAGGATAAATTAATATTACGCAAAGTTGAATGCCAAGTATTTTTCTGAACTAAACACTACAAACTATTTATATTCCAAAACGTTACAATGGATTAAATAAATCATAAAAATTTTTATTATCACAATAGTGTCAAATAACTTAGCAACTGACGTTTTCTATCGATGAATCTAGCCGAGCGATATATATTCACAATAGAAATCTA